TATCTGATGAAGAAGTTAGATCTTATCAGTGAAGATGAGGTATTTTATTGCTCTTTGGCTGTCATTTAGCACTTAAAGAATGTTCTCAATATTTATGCACTAAACAATCCAACATTATTCTGGTTAAAGTTCAAATTTAATATGGAGAGGGGTGATTTTTTTAAAATTCTTAGTCCTGTTGGGTGTGATTTTGGTCTAGTTGGTTTTGGTCCTTTAGGAAGTAGGGAGTATAAAGAAAATTGGTCCAACTGAGAAAATTTTGGGAATGGAAGGTGTACAAATTGCTTTAGTGCTGAAACCCCAATTTCAAGATGAACTAAATCACCTTGCATCATGTTTGGTAACATGTCTTACGTGATGTCCAAAGGGAATATGTGGCATCTGCAAGTAAGTTATTTTCAGATTTACTATATATTTTCTTTCGAATTCAGAAGCGAAAAAAACTGGAAAGAAGTGTAGAAGTTGGTGAAAAACAGCATTTTGTGTTACACCATACATATCAAAATTAGTAGTCCGTGTTAGTTTTAATGTTGGAAGAAGGTAGCAGTTCAAGCGATTTATACAAAAATATTTATACAAATGAAGCTGGACTATATCAAGTCGTTAATGACCTTGTACTAGAAAAGAGCTGCGCGGCTATAACTTGTTTTGGTTCTAGGCTCTATCATGACTGGTTTTTCTAAAGGTTTATTGTATTTCAGCACAAGTGAACATGAAGTCAAGCAGGTGAGTTTCAGGGTGTTGTGTTTTTACGATGTGGGTGTTATCCTGGGAAGCATCTGTAAGTGACAACTGTGACTGATAGCATTTGTCTTTCTTGGAAGTAAACTAACTGTTTCACCTTGCATCCTTCAAAGGAGGGAGAGAGAGATAGTTGCACCCAAGGGTGTGGCCTAAATGTCCACGAAGTGGAAGGAGAACCATGAGGTTCAAATCCTAGCGGAGGCAAAATACTAGGTGATTTCTTCACATCTGCCTAAGCTTTAGTGGGCAGAATTACCTGGTACCTGTGCAGGTGGGAGGTAGCAGGTACTCGGTGGAATAGTCGAGGCAGACACTGACGACATCCAAAAAAGAAAGAAAGAAATAAGAGAGACTGTTATCTTTGAGTAATTCCAACGTAAAAAACATATCATGATGGTTCCAGTTTTATACTCTGCTGACTGTTTATGTTGTTTTGTAGGTTGAAATTAGATGTATGGGCCAGTTGATAGCCCCCAGTTTGCAAGTAAATACTTTGGTAGATATGTGGCTTGAAACTACTACACCAGAAAGCGTGCCAGTTATTACTGGTTCATCAGCAAAGGAATTTGTGATGGTGCTGTCATATGCTCGTAAGGTCCCCATCCATCCAGCTTCTTGAGTTATCCTTTCTGCCTTCAACAATCCATGTAATATCTGGCATAAGTTGATAATGTGTCCCATAAGATCATAAGTTATTTTACAACTGCTGCTGCTGGAATTGTCACAAATCAGCAGCAAATGAGCAAAATGCCCTTTGACAGGGTGCTGAACAACTGGAGCTTGGCTCTTCTTGCTTTCATCGAGTTACTTTGCGTTTCTCTGATGTTGTATGATTGTACACTACCTTGTACTTTCATAAGGGATGAATTTTGAGAGAATTTTCATTCGTCTTTTTATACTACCAAGATTCATGGTAGCATGTTCTTAGGTCAAATTATCATGTGTGTTTGGGGCTTATCTGTTGCATGCTGAAGAAATAGGTTGTGGATTTCACAATTTAGAAAGTGCAACTGTAATAGATTTATTTCAAGTGAAAATTTTACAACTTTACAAGTATTACCTTTTTGCTATATACTTTTGGATTTCAAGTACTTTACCTATATCTTTTTGTTGTCTCAACTAAGACCAGGATTAATGAAAGTAAAATAGTATATCAAGGCTGATATTAAATGGTGTTTGATATTAAAATACTATTGAACAAGTAGGTGAGTTGTTATCTATGGAATAAACAAGAATGTGGGGATCATTATGATTTAAGTGGGATACAAAACTTAATAGTAATTTTCCTAATATTTGATTGTTTTTTTTTCCACATTAAATACACTTCGAAAATAATTGCTACACCATATGATTTCATCATAGTTTTTTTTTTCTTATAATGAGGTCATATTTCAAAATTAATGGTCAATTATAGATTTTGAAAGTTACTTCTAGATTTTTTTCCTAAATATATATTTAATCATAATTTTATTTATTTTTATATTTAATCACAAATTTTGGGAGTGATGTTTAAAAATGTTCCTTAAACATCTATTTGTCCATGAAGTAAATTCAATCTTAAAGTTCTGATCTCCATTCATAGATTTGGAGTAGTTTTTCGGAAATTGCCTCAAGTAAAATTTGATGATAAAAGCTATTCTTCACTCATAAATTTAGGGAGTTATTTATTTTTTAAATTTTTTTGAATATATTCATCTCCCAATAGATTTTATAAGTAAATATTTGTTTGATCATAGATCTTAAAAGTAGTTTCATAGATCTTAAAAGTAGTTTTCAAATTCATTTTTGAACATAAATTTCTTAAATATTTATTTGTGCGTGAAGTAAAATTTAATTTTAAAGTTCTAATCATCACATAGATTTTGAAGTAATTTTCAATTTATATCAATTAGTCTTCGCTCATAAACTTTTGGAGTTATATTTTTTCAAAAAAGAATCTTAGATATTTATTTCACCAAAAAATAATAAAAAATTGATTAATAAAAAATAATTTTTTGTTATAAATTTTGGAAGTATTTTTTCAACAAAATTTGATTAAAAAAATCTGGTCTATTCATACATTTTGGGAGAAGTTATTAAAATATATATATTTGATCATGAAGTTAAATTTGATAATTAAAAATTGATCTTCAGTCAAAGATTTTGTGAGTTTTTCCTTAAATTTTGACCATAAGTAAAAATTGGTCAAAAAAATATTTATTTGACCGTGTTAATTTTAGTCAAAGATTTTGAGAAAAAGTTCTTAAATGTTTTTTTTGACCATCAAGTATCATTTCATTATAAAAACTTAACTTTAGTCTTAAATTTATTTTCAATCAATTTGATAAAACAGTTTCAATGGCACAACGAAATAGTGTCGAGAAAAATCACAAAAGAAGAGTTAATGTGATCTCAATGAACATAAGAAAACTAGTATACAAGAATATTTCAAAGGAATAATGAGGTTGAAGTTGTGAGTGAAGAAAAAGGGTATTTAGGTTCTTACTACAGGGCAACTATTCTTTACCCTGTTGGCAATTGTAGTGATTACAGAGTCAAGTACAAGACTCTCGTGAATGACGATCAGAGTGGTATGTAGGTGCCTCTGAGCTCCGCCCCGTTCCACCTGAAATTTCACGTGAAACAATGCCAATGGAAACCTACGAATGTGTATGCCAATGAAGGCTGGTGGATCTGGCAAAGTTGAACAAGAGTATCGTTCCTACTTCAAAGGAGGAAATGGTGTATTCAGCTGATAAGTTAAGGTTTCATCAAGAATGGACAGTGGAAATTTCCTTTACTTGGTTAACGATACACATTTTCGCTTCAACAAATTTTATGTCATTGTAGTGTGGTATGAATTTTTACTTCAAGTTTAATTTGTCGCAACATATTATGTATGCTGATCCAATATATTTCAACAAAAAAAAAATTATCTAGAAATAAACTCTTACTTTGCTGGTGTTCAATAAAAAGTGCCGATAATTATTAACAATTATGCAATAATAGTAGTGAGTTGTCATGTATGCAATAAACAAGAATGTGGAAATCATAATGAGTTGAGTGCCATACAAAACTTAATTGTAATTTTCCTATTTAGTGTACTCGTTTTTGGTTTTGATATTTCATTTTTTTTTACATTAAATACATCTGAAAATAATCGCTTATACGATATGATGTTATCTTAGCTTTTTCGTAAAATGAGGACATATTTCAAAGTTAATCTTGATTTTAAAAGTTGTTTCTAAATTTCTTTCCCTAAATATCTATTTGATCATAATTTTAACTTTTTTGATATTTAATCAAAAATCTTGGAAGTGATTTGTAAAAACGTTTCTTAAATATCTATTTGTCCATAAATTAAAATTCAATCTTAAAGTTTTGATCTTCATTGATAAATTTAGAGTAGTTCTTTTGGAAGTAGCCTCAAGTAAAAATTGATCATAAAAATAATTTTCAACTCATAAAAATTTTGGGAGTTAATTATTTTAAAGAAATCATAAATATTTATTTTATAAGTAAACATTTATTTGACCATGGATTTTAAAAGTAATTTTCAAATACTTTTTTGGTCATAAATTTCTTAAATATTTATTTGTCCATGAAGTAAAATTCAATTTTAAAGTTCTAATCATCCGTCATAGATTTTGCAGAAGTTTTTAATTTTTTTTCCACTTAAATATCAATTATTCTTCGCTCATAAATTTTGGGCGTTATTTTTTTCAAAAAGAATCTTAAATATTTGTTTGACCAAGGAAAAAAATATAAAATTGATTAACAAAAATTAATATATAATCATAAATTTTGGAAGTAATTTTTCAATTTTTTCCTTTCAAATATCTATTTTTAGACATGAAATAAGATTTTGATCAAAAGAAGATGATCCAGTGACAGATTTTAGAAGAAGTTATTAAAATATTGATCTCAAATGTATATATATATATATTTGATCATGAAGTCAAATTTGATAATTAAAATTGATCTTAAGCCATTGATTTTGAGAGTATTTTATAAAGTTTTTCCTTTAAATTATCATTTTGACCATCAAGTAAAATCTGGTCAAAAGAAAAAAAAATTGATCTTCAATTACAGATTTTGGATTACTATTTAAATATTTATTTGACCGTGAAATAAATTTGATTGAATAAAATATTAAATCAAAAAGTTTTTCTTTAAATGTGTTTTTGACCATGGAGTAAATTTTTTTTATAAAAACTGTCTTTAGTCTTAAACAATCTCATATTTTTCTTTTCAATCAATTTGATAGAACAACTTCAATGGCAAATCGAAATGATGTCGAAAAAAATCACAAAAGAAGAGTTAATGTGATCTCAATGAACATAAGAAAACTAGTATACAAGAGACAAGAAGCATCAAGAATATTTCAAAGGAATGATGAGGTTGAAGCTGTGAGTGAAGAAAAAGGGTATTTGGGTTCTTACTACAGGGCAACTATTCTTTACCCTGTTGGCAATTGTAGTGATTACAGAGTCAAGTACAAGACTCTTGTGAATGATGATCAAATCACGCCACTGGAGTGGTATGTACGTGCCTCTGAGCTCCGTCCAGTTCCACCTGAAATTTCACGTGAAACAAAGCCAATGGAAACCTACGACATCGTTGATGCGTATGACAAGGAAGGCTGGTGGATAGGGGTCATAACTGGCAAAGTTGAACAAGAGTATCGTGTCTATTTTCCTACTTCAAAGGAGGAGATTGTGTTTTCTGCTGATAAGCTAAGGTTTCATCAAGAATGGTCTGATGGCGAGTGGAAATTTCCTTCATTTGGTTAACGATACATTTTTGTGTTTTTAACTCTACTCCTTTTGGCTTCAACAAATTTCCTGTCATGGTATCAATTTACTTAATCATTTCAAGCTTAATTAGTCGCAATATATTATGTATGTTATATTTCAAAGAAAAAAGTAATCAATAAAAGAGTAATTTTCGAAAAATTGTACCAACAAAAAACTTTTTCAATCCATTAAAATTCATGTGCAAACACTTCACATGTTAAAATATTATAAATAGAATTAATTACATGTTTAAGTAGTAATGATAATCCATTATTACATTGAGTGAATGGAGAGTTCATATGGATTGTTTACTCTTTCAGATTTTAATGGAGGTTCATAGCATAAATTTAATATTATTAAAATTGTTCTCTTTTATCTATTTTAGCCCTTTGAAACCTTCAAATTGTATTTAATTTAAAACTTTAAGACGTCATTTGGTATTCCTCTATTTTTATCTATACAAATTCATCTTTTTTGTTTCATGAAACTCACATCCAAAATTATCTTTTTCATTTTATAGTTAAAGTAGTGGAGTCATCAACATATAAAGTATGTTATATCTACTTTAGTCTAAGTGTATATCATTTTACGAAAATAAAGTAATTTTTTATATTTGATTCATGCTTTGGTTTGGCTCAATAGAAAAGACTTTTGAATTTTGATTGAATATGAAATAAGGTATCAACAAAAACTTGGAAATTTCTGCATTGATTTTGTGTTACTTTTTTCATTTATATAATGTTATGATTAAAGTCTTAAGAATGATGCTCATGTTATTTTTTTCTTCTATGTTTATTTTTTTTATATTTGTCTATTGTCCTGCTTTAATTTAATTTTCTATAAATTATCGTCGTAAGATTTATTTGAAATTGTTGCATTTTACTATTAATTACACATGTTCTCATTGAATTTTAATCGTTACAACGAATTTATAACATATTGCATGAGACACACGTACGTTGCACATGTCTAGAAACTAGTATCTCATAAAAAAATGCAGTATCTCCCTATACTATGACCAAAATCACAGAAACACATCTTAACTAAATTAATATCCTACTATTATCTCTGAACTTACTTATTATTTTTTTTGAAATTTTATGCACCTTTATGGCTTATGTGACATCCAATTATCTCTCACGTGCCTCAATTGTGTGAAGTCACAGAGTGTGTCACCTAAGACAGAAAGTGCACAAAATTACAAAAATAAATAAATTTAAGGGGTAATAAGAACTTCATATAATTAAGGTGTGTCATGGTCTAAGTATTTGTACATTTTTCCTCAATATAAAAATATTAAGAATTGAATATTATACTTTGTTTGGATCATTGTTACCCATTGTTTCATAATGTATTGTATTGTATTTTATTCTATTGTATGGTAGATACAATGTTTGACTAGACTGTATTGTTTATTGTTGTTTAACAACATTTAATTGTTTGGTTTGATCGTATCATATTGTATTTTAATTTACAAATTTACTAAAATATCCTAAATATGGTAGGAGGTTTGGATTCAAATAATTAAGATAAAAGGTAAAATAGTATTTTGAAATAATATGTAAATATATAATTGAAAAAATAAATTAAGTAACAATACGAACCCACCAAATTGGTTGTTCAATAAAATAGGAGTTTCCATTGTTACATAACAATGAAATTTAACAATACAATACAATTTAAGTAACAATCAAAACAAACATTGCAAGTATAGTAACAATGATCCAAACATAATGTTAATAGCTTTCACGAGTAAACAAACTTTTTTAATATTTAGATTAGAGAGTTAGTTAAAATGAGTGATCCATAATAAATTGAACATTAGTGCCAATTCCAGTCTCTTTTAACTGTAATACAAATCCCAGAGGTCAAAATTATAGAAATTGAAAGAATATGTTGATACATACAACTTTGTATCCCAAGTTTCACTGTACCCACAAAGTGAATTCATCTGTTTCTGAAAGCACAACTCCAAAAGATGTCCCCTTTCATTCTCAAATGCAAAATGAGTTGAAGAAAAGGGTTAAAGACCCTTTGTGTAGTAGTAACAAATTTTGCTTTTGCTGCACTAGAAGACACTTTATGGCTGCACTAGGAGCAGCTGCTCTATTGCCTATTCATCCTTCACATGCTTCTGATGTTTCATCTCCTGCTAATCCCATGGTAAAATATATAATGCTTCACTTTTACTCTTTTACCATTTATACGTTGTGTTTGATTGGGCATAGAGTTTAAGAACTATTGAAATGGGATAGAATCTTATATTGATTGGGGAATGTACTGGTGGGCAATCCTCCTGTCGTGAGCTAGCTTATGCAGCCGTGTTGGCCAAAAGGTCATATCTTTCATGATATTAGAGCAGAGTTAGTTCTTGTTTAAGCCCCATGTTACATTGTCCATGCTCCAATTAAGGGTGTTAGAGTGGGTTAGACTTTAGAGTATCACATTGATTCGGGAATGACCAGATGGTTTCCTTATATTGACTTGGGCAAGGGGAGAGCTAGCTTTTGGGTTTTCTTACAAGAAAAAAAAAATTTAAACTGGTTGACTTGTCTGATATAAAATTGGTAATTTTCCCACATATGTAAGTAGACAGTCACAGAATTTAGTTTTTAAGTTGAAAATGTCGAATGCTGGCTGTTAAAGTTGTGAGTTTAAAAGGTCTTTGCTAGTTATTTTCCCAATCTGGAATTAATCATTACAGGGAAGTTTTAACAGTCAGGAAACCGAAGCACGATTTACATACAATTAGTTCATGTTGTTGCATGAAAACGTTCTATGGGGGCAAAGTATTATAAGATTTAGGCTGCTCTTTCCTAAGAGTTATCCAAACTGGTTAAGCAAGAACAATGTGGCAAACTTTGCAGTGAGCCAGATTTGTTCAGATCGTAGTTGCTCAATCGCAATTCAACAAATGTTGCAGTTTTGATAAGATTTAGGCTGCTCTATCCTTAGAGTTATCAGAACTGGTTAGGTAATAACAACGTGACAAATTTTGCAGTGAGAGCGATTTGTTCATATTGTAGTTGCTCAATTTTAATTCAACAAATGTTGCAGTTTCAACATCAATTTGCTTTATAAATGACTTTATCAATCACTGATCTTACATGTAGGCTATGTTGAATAGGTTGCATCCTCCAAGGCCAGATTGGTACGAGGAGTTTTATGCAACAGCCATGAACACAAGTATGAAATCTTACGAAGCTGAGGTTAGCTCATATTGTCCACTTGAGAGCTGCAGAGATTATTTTTAATTAGTAAATAATGGAAATACATAAGATTTTCTGAAGTTATACCTTTTTCTGTAAGATTGAAGGTTACAAGTCAGAGCTTTTTGCTAATCTAAGAGGTCAGGCCAAACAAATCCTCGAAATTGGCATTGGGACAGGCCCAAATTTGAAATATTATGCCAGTGAGGGGGGCACTTCCGTTTATGGCGTCGATCCAAACAGAAAGATGGAGAAATATGCACAAGCAGCAGCAGAGACTGCAGGCCTTCCAGCTGCGAATTTCAAATTCCTGCATGCAGTACGTAGCTTTAACAAGACTCAATAAATATATATCATCATGGTGTTTAAGTTAGATAATCCGTGCATTTCAATTTGTTTGTTTGGTTTTGACTTGGCACTGAGTTTAAGAAAATAAAGGAGACTTTTGAATCTTGTGGTCCTAAACTAATGATTTGTAGAATGTATAAAAGTACTCTTTAATTTTGTTGTCTTAAATCTAACATGTGGAAAGTTAGAATTAAAGAGTTGTCAATAAAGGAAAGAGGGATTCTTTTTGAAATGGACTCAAAGAAATTAAGACACATAAATAAACTGAGGGGGTAGCTTTTTTGGAGAATGCATTGCAAAGTTATAACAGAATGGCTTTATTGTTAAGCCTACATACTTTTTTCAGCTACAGATTTTAACTTGTAGGCATAAAAGACCTTTTAGGATAAAACATATCTTTTTATGGCTTTCCCTATGATGTGCTTTTGCTATTTCAGTAATCAGTTTAATGCTTCTATGTAACAGCATCAGCATAAACTAGTGTATGGTAATCAAACTATGCTGTTTGTAACCATTCCATTTTTCTTTTTGGTTATTTGCTAGGCATAATTTCTTTCTTTTCTTTTCGGTTATGGATATGATAAATTTTAAGTAATTTTCATTAATTCTTCCCTTTTTCCTCTTATGGCTTTTCGTCATGTGCTATATCCTTTTTCTACTCGGATACTTTTTAGGTGTTCTTCTCTTGTTTGTTCGAGACCCTACTTTTCTTCGTGTATTTCACTTTAGTCATTCTTCCCTCTTCTTTTTGTTGCTTTGCTTACACTTTTTATCAGGGCTCTTCATTGTGTGTATTTTTGGCTGATTAATGTAATGCAAATACCTCAACAGTGTGATTGTTGTATTTTCTTTAGCTGGCACAATGACATACTTTATATGAGCTGGCACCTAGTTACTTACCCGTCATTAACAGGAGATGTATCTAAAACATAATAGGAAACTATAAAGGTGAACTTGATGGTTTCATGCAGGTTTCTGAGTCCTTGCCATTACGTGATGCTTCAGTTGATGCTGTCATTGGCACTCTTGTATTATGTTCTGTCTCAGATGTTAATCTGACACTGCAGGGTATATAATCTCTTTTAGTTTTATGCTTTCATATTGCAGTTCAATTCATAGGCTTATCCTGCTCACGAATTTCATTGAAGTAGTTCAGTAACCTTCATATCAAACATAAACCTATGTCGTTTAACCATCAGTGCGCCTTTGTATTTAGATTCTTTTTTAGATTCTTTTCATGTATCTTATGTAACATGTATTATCTTGTAAATATTTTTTGTATATTTACAATCTTATCCTAAGTGATGTCCTTCTTTGATGAAGTTTGATGTACTTGTCACATGTTTGAGTTTCCCACTATAAAGATATAGCAAAACAGGCTCATTTCTTTGGCCCTTCACTAAACTTGCTCATTTGCCTGTAGAATCCACTCTTTTTGAACATTTGATTTTTTGCTGTTCAGAGAGCAAAAGTGATTTCGGCATAGGACTTCAATGACCTTATCTTAAAATGTTAACCCTACAAATGCACAAAGTTACCAAAGACGAAGAAGAATTATGCCCCGTTTCTATTTATGCTGCATCTTATATATCTGCTTTTCTGCTAAAATGCTCTTGCTCATCTAAACTTACAGTGACCCTAAAACTTCTAAAAATGTCAGTCTGATATTCGGGTAAATGCAGAATAGTTCTTGTACTGTCAAAAGTATTAACACATAATCCTAATCATGTTAGTCTATAGAACCTCGACTTTCTTTTAATAATTATCTCCATTGGTTCCTGAAGTAGCCGAGCTATTAGTCCAAAATGTTATGGTGACCACGTCGTCTTCATTTAAAAAGTATTGACTATTAGCCAGGATGTTGATGTATGTGTATTTCCTTCTTGTTGCCTGTATACTCTTTCCCTGATCTGCAATTCTGTGTTTACTTTCTTTTCTTCGATAAGGTGGTTGAAAATGGTTTAAGTCCTGATATAATGATTTATCATTTTTCTCTTAGAGGTCAGAAGGGTGCTCAAGCCTGGTGGTATTTACCTCTTTGTTGAACATGTGGCTGCAGCAGGTAAAGATTATATTTACACTCGTTGTATTAAACGTTCCCAAATGTGTTTTCTGCATCAAGTAAAAATTATACTTTTTTCCGGTTGCAATTGGGGAAAGATGGTACAGCTCTCAGATTTGTTCAGGGATTGCTCGATCCGTTGCAGCAGGCTGTTGCAGATGGTTGTCATTTTACCAGGAAAACAGGAAAGAATATATCTGAAGCCGGTTTCTCAAATGTAGATAGTCGTCAAGTAGTATTATCAACTGCCTCTCTGATAAATCCTCATATCATTGGCATAGCTCGCAACTAGATACATATATATCCAAGTATTTTCAATGGTGTCTTTGCGAATCTTTAGCTCATGATCTTGAAGCTTCTCCACAACATATTTCAACCGGCTAGTTATATTGCCTCCGAACAACAAGGGCACAACAGCTACAGTACAATTATGCATCATCATTTACAAGTAAAGAGATGAGTTTTTATTCTTATTTTGTATAATAACATTGGCTTGATTAAAAAGAGTGACATAGTCGGTGAGGATTTATATAGCCAACTCCAACTTGTTCGGGATTGAGGTGTTGTAGTAGTTATTGTTGTTTTATTGTTCCTTCAAAGAGATCAGTCTTGTTCTTGGCTGGAGTTATCTTTACTTGTTTGATAGTGTCTTGAGTGAAAACATCAGATTGCACTGCACTTTGTTCATAATCTATGCTTTGTGCATATCAGAAATGTATATTTAAGGTTCAAATACTTGCAAGAACAAATTCAAGAATGTTTCTTGATATGTTTCTGAGTTGAGTGAATGCCCATTTATTACATGATTTTCTTACATTTTGACTTTTGATTCAACAACAATAATATAGAACATGATATTATCGAACTCAAGTTAAATTCACTAGATATAGGACATTTGAGTACACAGAATTATACCCAGGAAAGTTGGTTCCATCTAATTGTCATATGATATCTAATGGCACAAGTGAACATGTTTTAGAGTTCAAAAATTCTTATCCATCTCTTACTAAGTTAGTTTTCAGCTAAAGTTATTTAGACTTCATCCAAAGGTACCATGCAAAAAGACAAGATCATAATACATTTTATGAAAGACGATTAAGTAACTATGGTGTCCCGAATTAGACCAAAATTTACTTGCTTCTATTTAGCCATGGTGATTATGTTGCAAAAGCAAGTCTTTTTGAGCTTAAAGGTTGAGAGACTCTTTTTTTTTAGCAATGAAGCATTAGAATGTTAGTTGGCACAACAAACCGTCCTAGATGATAAATGCATCAGTACAAAGTATAAAGAGAGGCATACAAAGAAAGAGCTATATGTATATATAGCAAGTAACAAATGAAACTAGTTGCTTTATGTTAACATGATGATTTAATGTTTAAAAACAATGATCGATGTGTATAATGTCATAGCGCATTAAGCCAGAGCGCGCAGTAACTATGAAAGAACAATCAAGAACGAAATCCGTTACACATGACTACACTTAAATATATACATATTATGTGGTAATAGTAAAATAAAATTTTAAATTATAATTTTGAAGAAACGATTCAAGAATGTAACTATGATTTGTAAAAGAAATTAGTTGAGGTAAATAATATTTATTAAGAAAATACAATATACATTTGCTTTATGCTCCAAGAAGAAGAAATAGTTTGTTCATGTATGTGTTCATCTTCAATGACCTTTGAACCAACAATTCCATAACCAAATCTTATTGGATTTTTGTGATTCTTGATTTGACAGACTCCTTATTTTGTTTACTATCATATCAAAAGAAAAAAACAGCATTTTACTCAAAGCATTGACCTAAAATCACCCAAAACTACAATAGACTCCAAGAAACTCATTGATCAGACCACTTGCTGTTCAAAATTAAAAATCTCCGAGATTTATCATTCAAAAATTCCAAAAAGATACTCTTTAGAAAGCTTACAAAATTATCTATCTATGTAATTTTATTTTGTTAAATTCCATTTAGTATAACTCGTGTTATGCCTATATTAATTGAGCATAAAAACACAGCTCAAAGAAGTAAAACAAGCTTTTCTTGTTACAATCTCAATCTCCGTCTAAGTCACCTACCCTTATGAACCGTGGATGAAGTTTCATCCAACGGCTTATATTCAAAATTCGTTTGTGAAGTATTAATCCGCGTCAAAAGGCTATTAACCAATCAGCTTTCAGAATTCTGGATACGAATTTATTTTAGCTTACTATATATGGTCTTCTCAATTTCACAACGAAATCATACGAGCAAAATAGAAATTCTAGTAGTTCTACAGATCTTAGAAACCCTAATTATTATATTCTGTAAAGATGGCGACTGAAGAGCCGGTTGTAGCAATCGAGCCTGTGAATGAACCGATGGTCGTAGCTGAACCTGCGACGGAAGAAAATCCACCGGCGGAGACTGATGAACCAAAGAAAGAGAAGGAGATCAAGGCGAAAAAATCATCTGCTCCGAGGAAGAGAAATCCTCCGACTCATCCTTCCTACTTTGAGGTAAAATTGGTTATAGATTTGTTATTAGTCGAAGTTGTTGTTTAATTTGCCGATCAGCTAACTTGAAATGCTATGCAGATGATTAAGGAAGCGATTGTAACATTGAAGGATAAAACTGGATCGAGTCAGTATGCGATCACAAAGTTCATTGAAGATAAGCAGAAAAATCTTCCATCAAATTTCAGGAAAATGTTGCTTGCTCAATTGAAGAAGCTTGTGGCTTCTGGTAAACTTGTCAAGGTGAAGAGCTCCTACAAGCTTCCAGCTCCAAAGGCAGCTGCTCCTGCTCTTGCTAAGAAAAAGTCCATAGCTAAGCCAAAAGCAGCACAGGCAAAGAAGGCCACCAAGGCAAAGCCGAAGCCAAAACCAAAGGTTGCTGCTCCAAAGGCCAAAACTGCTACCAAATCAAAAGCTAAGCCAAAGCCTGTTGTTGCTGCCAAAGCTAAACCAGCTGCAAAGCCTAAGGCAGTTGTAGCAAAGCCGAAAGCAGCTGTAAAGCCTAAAGCCCCTGTAAAAGCTAAGGCTGCTGTAAAGCCAAAAGCGGCTAATGAGAAGCCAGCTAAGGTAGCAAGGACATCTACTAGGTCGACTCCGTCGAGGAAAGCTGCACCGAAGCCAGCTGTGAAAAAGGCACCGGTGAAGAGTGTGAAATCTAAGACCGTGAAGTCGCCGGCGAAGAAAGCATCCGCCAGGAAGGCAAAGAAGTGATCGAATGTAGGAGGAAGGGTAGCATTGTAAATTTCTTGGATCTTTGTGGGTGGTTTGTATCTGCGGCCCAATATAGAAAATAGTATTTTAAATTCCAGTTGTAATTTTCGTTTTTTTTATTTTATATAATAATCCATTTTAGTTGAGTTTATGCTCTAATTATCTTCTCTTAATTATTATTATTATTATTATACCAATTTTAAAGTATAGTCGGTCAAATACTGAAATGCATCATCGTTAATTTTCCTTTTATGATGCACATAATTGGTTTTAACTTTTACATTATAACAAAAATCTAATTTCTCGGCGCATTGAAACGCAGTATAAATGTGTATTATATTCAAAAGATAACGTAATAAATTGAGCTAAATTAAATTGAAGAGGCTAAACTGAAAATTCAAAACCTAAATTGGACGAGACATTATACATCAGTAAGGTGTCCTTAAAAAAAATTATAATTGTGTATTTCAATCCATCTCAACCTATTAATAATTGTGTTGATTTGCAACTCAAATTAACTCATCAGAAGTTTTATAAATTGTTTTTTTTTTCTAGTTTGATATATTATTTATAGCCAATAGTAAAGAAAAAATATTTTTTTATTGGTACAAAAAAACTTCTAAACGAACAATTAAACTTAGTAAATGAGCTGATTTGGATCTTGATTCATTTTGTAACCCATTTTTTAACCCGACCCCTTTTAACCCAAGTAAAATTGAATTGAGTTGGATTTTAACTTATTATTGTCTTGACCCATTATAATTTGTTCAAATTTGACACAATTCGTTTAATTGTCACCTCTACATAAATTACACAATTCAACATAATTATATTAATAATTTCACAAAAAAGTAATAGTGCAAAATATTATTCTAATAATGTTCTCTTATTAAGTGTGCATTATTTTCACAAATTTACTTAATGCGGATTAAAAAATATAATACACTTAGTACAGATATAATTTATAACCTCATTGAAATCAATAAAACATTCACATGACAAAATCTAGTTAAAAATTAAGCTTGAATTTCAAGTGAACATTGCCCTATTAAATATGAATGAATCTACTTATTATTTTATATATGTATTTCCTCATAACTTAAACACTTACTAATATGAAGTTCGGAGCCTAAAGGTTACAAAATATTAACAAAAATTTTAAAATGGTATATAAAATTTTATATTAATCAAAACGGCAAAGTCGCTGCATCAACAGCGATTTACTCCACCGGAAAAAGCAAAATCGCTGCAGAGGCAGTGATTTTACAAAATGTGAATTTTTTTTTTAAAAAAATGAAATCGCTACCTAGGCAGCAATTTAAATTTTTTTTTAAAAAAATAAGGAAAATCGCTGCCTAGGCAGCGATTTTTTTTAAAAAAAAGTTGAAATGTGGAAGTCGCTGCCCAGGCAGCGACTTTTATAATTTTTATTTTTTGTTTTAATTTTTAAGATTTTTTTTTTTAAAAAAATTATAAAATTTATAAATCGCTGCCTAGGCAGTGGTTTTTTTTAAAAAAAAAACTTATAAATTTTTTTAAATCGCTACCTACACAGCGATTTATAAATTTATTTTTTTTAAAATATGTAAATCGCTTACCGAATTTATAATTTTTTTTTAAAATATGGAAATCACTGCAATTTTCCAAAAATAATTTTTTTTAAAAATAAAATTTAAAGCAACGATTTTGTAAAAAAATATTATTAAATTTTTTTATTTTATAAAATTTCTGCTTTAAATTTTTATTTTTTTTTAAAAAAAATCCATATTGTCTCCATATTTTTTAAGAAAAAAATTTAAAAATTAAAAAAAAATTATAAAAGTCGGTGCCTGGGCAGCGACTTGCACATTTCAAAAACGAATTTTGTATAAAAGTCGCTGCCTTGGCAGCGACTTCCACATTTCAAAAAAAAAAAAAAAATTTAAAAATCGCTGCCTAGGCAGCGATTTTCCTTATTTAAAAAAATTAAAAATTATAAATCGTTGCTTAGAACTTTTTTTTAAAAAAATTAAAATCGCTGCCTAGGTAGCAATTTCATTTTTTTAAAAAAAAAATCACATTTTGCAAAATCGCTGCCTCAACAGCGATTTTGTTTTTTCCGGGGAAGTAAATCACTGTTGATGCTGCGATTTTGCTGTTTTGGTTAATATAAAATTTTATATACTGTTTTGGAATTTTTGTTAATATTTTGTACTCTTTAGGCTTCGGACTCTACTAATATGCAACTTTAAAAATGTCAATCAAATATCATATTTATTATCTATTTACCAAACATTATATACGCTATACGAAAATTAATATATAAATAATTTTTTTTCTTGTCTAATTATCAAACAATTCTTTTTAAGTGTTTACAGGTATTGAGTTGTACCCACTAATAAGGGGTGTTAATTAGTTGGGTTAAGTCCAGTCATAAAATGTGTTAATTAACCCGTTAGGCAATTATTTTAACTTATCCAACTCATGAGCCCTAATTATTTACTTATAAACATATTATTATGAGTATATAGGGAAAATTTCATATATGACAAACATATTTTATGAAATAACATTCCATGGGTATAATTTACATAATTACATTCCATGGATATAGTTTAATTTGTTATGTGACTTTAAATTTGTATAAAACATTTATTTTAAATTTAAGTTTATACAAAAAATTTACTTTTTCAGTAAATGGATATAATAGCACAAAAGATGGTAACAATAAATTCACATAATTTCAAAATTTAAGCAAAACGTTCAAAATCAAATATTTTCCTAAAAAGATAATTCTAAAGCAATAGAAAGATAATACCAATTCTAAAGCACACGATTGAAGCATTCAAATATTTTTTCATTTTTTATTTTTTTTTAAATAAATCTATGAAACACTCAGGCGTTAAATCTATGAAACACTCAGATGTTTTAAATATATATATATATATATATATATATATATATATATAAATTGATTATATTGAATATATTTGAGAAATTGTATATGATTTTTTATACAATATTTGTGTGTATTGATTATGTGTTATTAACGGTATATGTTACTATCATAATATGTATTTGTTTTTAATTTTTTTTGTGTAGTCTGTTTGTATACAATATTTTATTATATTTCTACTTTTTTTGTATATAACTAGGAATTTGTATAATGTATAATAATTTTGGTATATGTATTATATTTGTATATGTGCATCTGTAATTTCGTGTTTTTTAAAAAAATTAAGGAAAAATATATAAGTACCCCCTTAACATATGGGTGAAATCCGAGAGACACACTTATATTATACTAAGGTCCTATTATCCGCCTGAACTTATTTTATAAATAATTTTCTTCTCTTTTCGGCATACGTGACACTAGCTTGAAAAAAAAGTCAACATGCGTTGGACGGTGGATTATCAACAACATTGACATGCAATGTCATCTATTCTGATTTTGAAAGACTTGTATCTGATAAGTAACTAATTTTAAAAAAAAAATATGAAAAACTAACAAGCATACTACATATACAATTGTTGAAGAAGGATTCAAAAAAATAAAATAATGAAAGACACGAATTTGACAGTTACCTGCAAAAAGTGAAGGTACAATTGGAGGGAGAAGTTCAAAATTTTCTCAATTCAAATTAGAAGGGAAGAGTGATTTTAGGAGAAAGATATGAAATGAGAATAGAAGAGATAAATTTGATTTTGTATGAAATTATATATAAAATTTGACTATTTTTATTCCGTATACAAATAGATAGTGGGTCATATTATTTATGGCAAAAAACTGAAACTTTATTTACTGACAGTAAATAAATTAAATTATACCCTTATTAACTAATTACTTAGTAATATTTGTAATCTCACGTAATTTTTCATATTGTAAACCTAAATTTTTTCATATTAAAAGGTGTTAATTAGTTGGGGTGGGTCCATTTATAAGATGTGTTAAATAGTAAGTTGTCCATTAACTTATCGTACTCATAAATCCTAATTATTTACTTTTAAATACAAGAATATTGAAAACTTAAATTTCTCTCTTCATATTAAGAAAGGAAAATTTCATATATGACAAACTTATTTGATTAAATAACATTATATGGGTATAGTTTAGCTAATTACATTATATGGGTATAGTTTAATTATTAAAGGTGTCTTTAATTTTGTATATAATTTTTTTTTACAATTCTATTTTAAAAAGTTGTTTGTAACTGAAGCATTAAATATGGTAACAATAAATTAAGATAATGCCACAATTTTAGGGAAACGTCCCCTTTTTTAAGCTAAACGTTCAAATTCAAAAAAAAAAATTCATACAGCCATTGAAACAAAACTATAATTATTTTTTTTGCTCTTTGTGAAACTGAAGTTCAGCAATTTTTGCAATCGAATACAGGTAAGTTTTTATTCGATGAAATTTCTTGTTTATTATTGCAATAACTATACAATGTTAAATTGGATTTAGAAATTGTGAATTTTTTTTGATCGTTGTTTTTTTAAAAAAAAATCAAAATATGATTTTGTTAAGCTGAATTTGTGTGTATTCGTTAGTGTGATGTGGTTTTATTAAAAAAAAATTCAAAATATGTTTCTGTTAAGCTGAAATTTTGCAATATACAATTATATACTGTGCATGTAATTGTATATGTTATTCGCAGTATTTGTATATTTTGTAAGCAACAATATTTTATCAGTGTTCATAATTGTATATATTCATAAATCATGTATTTTATTTTTTTATAGAATTATATACTATTGTAGATGTAGTGTTTGTATATTAGAATAATAGTATAAAATTTCTATGTCATATGATTTATTTTTGGAAGAAGTATACACTATTGTAGATGTAGTGTTTGTATATTAAAAAGAATAACAGTATAAAATTTGATCGTATAAAAATTGTTTTATTAATTGTATATATGATCTCTTTGAATTATTTGAAATATATATAAATATTCTTTTCATAAATGTACAAATAATGGGCTCATTAGCTATTTTGGTTATGCATTCTGGAAAATGGGACGATACAAATAGTTACGTTGATTATACTATAGAGGGAGTAATTTTTAAGGAACAGTCAACGTTTCTTGATTTTTATACTACTATTGCCAAACAGATTGGTGTTGATATGAATAATAAGACTTTGACGATTGAGTACAAGGTTGAAGAAAGCAATAACGAATGGTTATACACAATGACATGGGTGTCAGAGTGTACGTAATGCTAAAAAAGGCCAACATTGATTTTAACAAATTTCCTATTTGTATAACTATTTTGGATTCATGTGATAGACAGATTTCTCAGTGTAAAGAGATGGGGCTGTTGGCAACTGTTGCAGAAAATGATTGTCATGATATGATTGTTGTTGAACCGGAGCATACAAATGTTGCATTTGTAACGATTGATATGTGTACATGAATATATTAGTTAAACATGACATTATATTCAATAATTTGTATATAACTACTACAATATACAAAATATAATCACATATGATATTTTCCCATCTGTATAAATAAATCCAATTACAAAATATAATCACATATGAGCCTTTAATATACAATCCCCTACTACCAGCTATTAAAACAGACATATACATATTAATTATTGTATATGTATATATACTCAATATATACGAACTTTAATAATTGTATATAACTAATATAATATACAAATTTTAATCATATATTCAAATTTTTAATCTGTATAACTAAGTTCAATTACTTTTTTATATATATATATATACAAAAATAAGTTATATTGATATGTGTACATGAATATATTAGTTAAACATGACATTATATTCAATAATTTGTATATAAATACTACAATATACAAATTATACTCACATATGATATTTTCCCATTTATATAACTAAATCCAATTACTTTGTGTACTAACTTCAATAATTTGTATATAACTAATATTATATACAAATTCTAATCATATATTCCCGTATACATTACTTAAATATACTATATACAATTACTAAACATGGAATATACTATATACAATACTTAATTTAATATTTTTTGTATATTGACAATTAATTACAAAAAATTGTATATAACATTGTGTTTTAAGACCCTACCTCTTGATTATGAAGTTCTTCAGATCCGACTACTTCAGAAGCATTTTCGTCTGATTCAATGTTTACAGCTTTCCTCTTTCTTCTTCCTTGTACAATTTTAATGCATCTAGCTTTGACATTTTTAATAACTTGTTGTACTGCCATAGGGTCGTTTTTTTCTTTGATCTCAGCTCTTCCATGGTTTGTTCTTGTATAACTTGATTTGATTTCCCCAAAGACCCTACATTAACCCCAAAATCTTGAGTTAGCCCCATTGAAAAGGATGGTAAAATGTCATTGACATGCAAAGGACTATCTCTTGTAATCCTCAATGATGAAGATGATTCATTCATTGTTTGACCAATTTTAAATCTATCAAGAACAAAAAATCGATTATTTCATCAAAATATATGAAAAATAATAATAAACAGAACACATATACAAATTTTAAATAAGTAAAAAAAAAGGTAAACAACTAAAATTAAGGAGTACTTACGAAATTGACTTCAACTTGGGGAGGGAACTTCGACTTCGGGAGGGAGAAATCTAATTTTGGACAACAATTTGAATTTCAAATCGGCTAGTTGGAGTATTAAATGTAGGAGAAAACGTTGGAATGTTAAAAGGAGAGAGAAAAATGTTTGTGAAAAGGAGAGAGAAAATTGTTTTTTGTATAATTATATACAAAATTAGAAAATAAGTTTTTTATACAATTGGTTACATAATAGGTTGTGGATCCCATTAATTATAGCAAAAAAAAAAAAACTATAATTATATGAGGTAAATAAATTAAACTATACCCCTATGACATAATTAGTTATGAATGTTTGTCATTTCATATAATTTTCCCTATTAAGGGAAATGTTAATTAAGTGGGCTGAGTATATTTATAAGATATGTCCATAAGTCCATTAGCCCATAAGCCCATTAACTTATCATACTCATAAACCCTATAATTCACTTATAAATACATTATTATGAGTATTGAAAATTCAAGTTTCTCATATCAAAGTGACAACTGAGGTTCATTATGAGAAAAAGTGCGCAAGTATCTAGGACGTTTTTAAGAGGGTAAGAAAAAAAAATGAAGAAGAAATTATAATACAAAAAGTCGAACATTATCAACATGAGTGAGGAATTTAGTTTGATAACAAGCTAAAGTACTATGATTTTTCAAAAAGATCACCCTTTTTGTTAGGATTTTCACAATCGATGGCATATATCATGATAACTTCTGATCTGATTTCGCTATGAGAAATTCGAAAATCTTCTGAATCAATATATGCCTATTCAATTACCACATCAGTATCAGAGCTATTCATTTGTGTTTTGATAATTAACATGAATACATGATTGCTATGCAAATTAAATATTTTTTTAATATAGATTTTTAACATCGACTTTTTATTTTAATATTTTTGTATCATTTTTGTGACTATTTATTTTTTACAAAAAAATATTAGAATTTTTATAGATCTTGTCAAGAGATTTTTGAAGATACATAGATCATATTTTTAAGTTTTAGAATTTGTAATATATTAAATTTTAATATTTTAAAATATAATTATCACAAGAAAAAGTAATATTGTGTTGCGTGGAGTAAAACTAGAACATACATATGATCTAATATGAATAAGATAAATCTTATTAGGATGGAAAGTATTTTATATGATTATAAATTTATTTTTTATTGAGTTACACATTCATTGTCAAATTGAATAAAAGTGATCCTACGAGAGTGAAAGCAAAAATAAAAATAAGAATTGTTTCAAGTAGAAGTGAATTAAATAAATATTTTGAATAATATCTAAAAGAATTATTCTTTAAATGATTAATTATTACATACAAAACTCCAATTAAATAGAAAACTACTTACTGTTTGAATAAAAAATAACTTATTCAGATTTTTTGTGTAATTATTCTGATACAGAGATATTTATGTTGTAAAAAGTGAAGAATTGAGAACTAATTTTGACATCACATACATAAATGAAGGTGTAATTGATAGTTTTTGAAAGTAGAAGACTGTAATTGTATAGTTTTCATGTCTTTGTTGGCTAAAATATGAATAGAACAAGTGGTAGGTACTAGGGGGAAATTATCCGAAGATGGCCTCAATAAAACCTAGAATTGTTACACTTATGTCCCGCCTTGCTTCCACAGCCTCATTCGATATCTCTTCAATTCATGTAAGTTTAATTTGATGATTAAGTTTTCATATCCATTGATATTTTTCCCTTAATTGTTTCGTCAATCTGTATGGTGTTTAAAATTTGTATGGGTAAATTCAGGGGTAGGGCAAAGACGTCCATTGAAATCCCAAATGGTGTAAAATTACACTGTTTATATCTGGAAGTATATTTTTTTTTTTATGTATATATAGTTGATGTCGGAACTCTTTGAGGTCAAATTTCACAGTTTTTACTTTTTTTTTTTTAAAAAAATTAAATATGTATGTATTGTAGTTTACCCATCAAGCTAATGGGGACTTTTTCAATTGTTGGGCCAACTTTTCCGTTTCGAGAAGCTTCTAATTCTGCAGTTATGATCTTTTGGAACACAAAGACAAACTGCTATATCGTGTTAGTTTTTGGACACATAGGGAAATTTGAATGTTTGACAGTGGTTTGATTTATTTGACATTCTTTGTTTACGTTGTCAAAGCTGATTTTTTTTTTCTTCCAGCAAATGGCAGAAGAAAGCTACCAGGAACATGACCTTGGTAATGTCTACAACGCAGAGAATGTGCACAGCGCAGCGGATGGACATACGGGGGAAGTGGACAATGCACATACCCTGGAAAACATTCAGGAAATGGACAATGCACATGAGAACTTGCTTCCAGAAGAGGTAAAATTGGAACCAGAGGAGGTACAAGTTGCGTTTCTTCAGGAACATCCAGTAAAACTGGAACAAGAGGAGGCACAAGTTGAGTCCCTTCAGGAACATGTGATAAAATCGGAACCAGAAGAGATGCAAGTTGCTGAAAACGGTTCAGGTGGTGGTGAGGAAAAAAGATGGCCTGGTTGGCCCGGAGAAAATGTTTTCAGGATGTTAGTTCCTTCTCAGAAGGTTGGTGGTATTATTGGTCGCAAAGGAGAGTATATTAAAAAGACATGTGAAGAGACAAAAGCTCGCATTAAGGTCCTTGATGGTCCTCATGGTACTAAAGAAAGAGCTGTGAGTTCCTGCTATATCTTGTTATTTGAAGCCTTTATGATTACATGTTATGTGGAGTGCGATTGTCTTCGTATCATGTTATGTACTTATGATAATGTGAAAATTGCCTTTAATATTTCAACTGATGGAGATGAATCAACACCCAAAGGTGTGGTTTACCAGTCAATGAAGGCTAGGTGATTTCTTTTTATTTATATAAGCCATGGTGGATAAAGATAGCAGGGACCTGTGGATTAGACAAAGTTTGGGAAAGATGTCCGAGTACCACTATTATTTTATATTAAAAAAGCTGATCAGAAAACTAAAGTTCTCAATTTGTCGTTGTGCTTCCCTTGTTAAATCTTCTTGGATACTTCCATATATTCTATCCATTCAGACATAGAATAGTATTTAAGTACATCCTAAATCCAGTTTTAATCCCTTAAATCTTGCAGCAGAATGATGATTATTTTATTGTTTGGAGTTGCTAAATGCCCCCACTTAAGTTGGTCTTGGCTTGATGCGCAAGTTGATGGTCAAATGTTCATAAAAATGTCCAAAGTTGAAGCAGCTCTCTCTTATTGAGAGTAGTGTCTTTTTTTCTTAGTTTTATGGTTCTAGCAAACCTGCTCAAAGCATGCTATATTTAGCTAATTCCATTGGTACATCTTATGTAATTCAATATTCTTAGATGTTACTTTGGGCAACTTATATGTCAAATAAAACATCTTCTAATAGTGTTCGAACTTAATGAAATATTCACTTTAAGGTTAGCAATAATTATTGCTGTGAAATTGAAATATAGCTATTAGAAATAAGTTGATAAACATTCATTCTAATTCTAATATAAAATAAATACATTGATAAACGATTAACTAATGAATCTGTAAGTATAGCTAACTTCTAAAATAAAATAAATACATCGGTAAACGATAAACTAACGAATCTAAGTATAACTAACTTCTTGAATGTGGGAAAAAATCAGTCCATCAAACAACCAAAACAATCGGGGGAGTTTCTTTATCATCATAACCAGCATTAGTGTGTGCAGGTTTGTCCATATAAAAGTGGCTTACTCTAGAAGAACCAAAGATCCAGACTGCTGCCATCAACATTGAGCATTACAAGTGCTGGAAGTCCTTCTGACAATCTGTCAAAATTACCTTATCTGGCCATCAATATCCAGAAGATTGCACCGTGTCTGGTAACTTCAAAACTTGGTCGGTTGGTATCTTGCTAGAAGGTGTTAAGCTCCGTAAAAAGCTCCTTAATAAGTTCCATAAAAGAGGAAAGTTTGTATAGCAGACAATCTTTATTACATAAATTCCACAATGAAACAGTTCGGTACTTTTAAACTAGTGTCTACATGTTGGGTGACTGGGTCATTAACAACAAACTAGAATAAAAAATAATATAAATTAACAATGCCTGAAATCTACTATTAGTGTTATCTTCTAACTGATTATGTCCACTGAGCTACTGCAAAGATTAAATGGTCTTGAAAACAGACTGCATTTGCTTCTCTGTTCTCTACCAATAAAATATGACAGTTAAATCTTTTGACATCTTTTAAAGAGTAGTCTTGCACATAATACTTGAAAGGCTTAAAAGTGTATCCTAATGAGTTCACATTTCTTCATTGTTATAAATGTGGATAGTTGCTCATAAAAACATAAAAATCTAGTGAAGAGATATTGATAGACAAAAATTTCTAAAATATGAAATAGAAGTTAATATACCACTAAGCAAATCAAGAGCTATTTACTAGCGCAAATTGTTCAGACAATGTAATGGATTATGTTTTCCTTCTCCGCCCTGTCCTTACTAAAGAAAAAAAAAATAATTAGCTAGATGCATAGACTGCTATTTATAGAAAATTCCAAGAGAATTTTGGTGTAAAAATTTTGTTCCAGATCAAATTTTTCAGGCTTTGCTAGTAAAAAGTGAGAAAGTAATACTTCCTACTTTTACTAAGAGTTCTTAAATAAATACATATACACACAAAAAGAGAAATTTAGAGTTGCTTTTATTTCTTATATTCTACTTTTTTTTAGTGTAGACATTGTCACTACATTCTTTGTCAAGGAATGATAGATTATTTGTAACTGCTGTTCCATTTTAATCAATACTCATACTTGCTTATATCTGTGAGTGTGTGCTAATTCACTTGTCTGTCTTTGTACTTTGTGTTTCACACGTCGAATCTACTTATGTGCATATCCATTGACACTTGACAGAGTATATGCACTGATTCTGCATTCTGTTTTATTTACTATGATTCTAATCTACGCGAAAACATTCTAGGCACTGGCTTTTATGTTTGACGCGATGTAAGTTGTTGGAAGATATAGTGTTTATCTATAACTCTCTTTTGTGCTGACCTTGAATTGTTTATTCTTTTTCATCGAAGGTGATGATATCTGCGAGAGAAGAGCCTAACCTCTCCATTCCGCCTGCTATGGATGGACTTTTAAAGGTCCATAAGCGGATAATTGATGTGGATTATGACTCCAATGCTCCTGGTGGTGCTGGGAAACCAGCTTCGACTAGACTACTTGTTGCTGCTACACAGGCTGCAATCCTGATTGGAAAGCAAGGTGCAACTGTTAAGTCTATTCAAGATGAATCTCATTGCACTATTCGAGTACTTGGAGGAGGTGATACCTTAATTTCAATGTCTTTTCTTGTGTTGTTTTCTTGAGAATTTGCTGGTTCTGATGCTTGCTGTTCTAAACAACCATGTTAATTGTAATGATATTAACTTGAATTTTACGATACATGGGGCTTTTACTGGCTTTCACTGCTCCTTTTCAATTGCATGTATGGTCATTAAGCATATAAATCCACCACTGATTCAAAATATCTAAAAATTTGTGTCTTGGAACCAGCATATCATAACTCTCTGTAGTAGTATACCCCCTCCATTCCAACTATCTCAAATAAAATAGGAAGTTGTTACAGATCAAAATTCTTCTGCATGTTTACCCTTCCAATAAGGAGAGACAATGTTAGTAATATTTCCCTCTACTTATATTGTATTTTCTTTCAAGGAATGTAAGCACTCTGGAAGCAGGTGTAACTAATCACTAAGTTCTGCATCAGTTGGTTTAGTTTCCTCTTTGAATTATGTTTTTCCCCTTTGAAACATATAACAATCAACGGAAGAACCAGTTTGGACTTTTAAAAAAAGGCTCAGAAGCTGAATATACTGCTGTGTTGTGACTTCAAAATGGTAGCAAGAGTTGTCTGTTCTTAAGTTTTTGTTGTCTTTATTTTGATCTGCTGCTATCCTTTTTGTCCTCCTGGAATTGTTATTTGGAGTTTGATTGCGATTTTTTCTACAGAGCATCTCCCTGTTTTTGCCCTGCCTGATGATAGTATTGTTGAGATACAAGGAGAGCCAGCAGGCGTGCATAAAGCAGTTGAAATGATTGCAGGTCATCTAAGGAAATTTTTAGTAGATCGCAGTGTAATTGGATTATTTGAGAAATTAGTAAGCATACTATTGATTTTAAAGAATTTACAATCTTATGTGACAATTATCTAGAGAACACATTTCATATTTTCTTTTGCTCAGATGCAAATGCCAAATGCTCATGCACACCAGAATATGCCCCCGCCTGGACCTAACCAACCTTGGGGTCCACCGCCGTCTAGCTTTCCCATGAGTGCTGGGGGCCCTGGATACGGAGCCAACCATCAGTATATGCCGCCACCGCGTCAATTTGACAATTATTTTCCCCGAGTAGACATGCATCAAGATAAGCAGCCTCATCAGGGTCCCCCTGTTTATGGCAGAGATGCTTCAATGGGAGCTCATGGAAATGCACAACCACAACAATCAATAGTTTCAAAGGTGCACTTTCTCCTTCTTTAACCTGTTCAGCTCAGATATATTGGCATGTCACTATAATCTTGCGCCCTTTAGTAGTGTGTTTTGCTGATTAAAAGATTTGTTTTCTTTTTATTCATTTACTGTCCTCCCACAAAAAAAAAATCCTACTTTTGCTCCTTGTTTTTTTAATTTTAACTTTTTCTCTATAAAGGTCACACAGAACATACAAATCCCCTTGTCATATGCCGATGCTGTTATTGGGGCTTCTGGTTCAAATATTAGTTATATTCGTCGGGCCAGTGGTGCAACTATTGCAGTACAGGAAACGAGGGGTGTTCCTGGTGAGATGACTGTTGAGATAAATGGGTCTGCATCACAAGTCCAAACAGCACAACAATTAGTTCAGGTATTATCTCGTACAGTATTGTAAATGTTTCTGATCATTTTTATTATTGAGCTTCAATTGACATTTAAATTAGTCAATGTTCTCGTGATTGTGTCTGCATGTGTGGTAGTGACTAACAAATTGGTTATTGCATTTCTGCTTGCTCTCTTTCATTGAATCTAGTAGTATTACTGTTTCCGGCTACATGATATAGATATAACTCACTGTATTCTTATGAAGAAACTTATTGATTAACATCCATACACTGAAGTTTTGCAGTTTGAAGAATTGCAAACATTCCTATTACTATATTTGTATTCCTCAAGGTAGAAAGTTACTTTTCTGCATTAGAAAGCTGACATGTTTGATGTGGTTGATTAGTGCAAAAACCATTGGGTGTAGTTTGCTCCTTGATTTACCATTTTGATGCCCTTCTGTGGTGGGATTTTGCATTTTTTATTGTAAGTTCGCTTTTGCTGGCACTTTCCCCCCTTCCCCCAATAGTGGTTTTTTGGGTTGCTTAACTAAGAAATCTCTGTGGCTCAGTGTTATGGTCCCCTGCTATGGATTCAGTTATGGGACGCCGCAAGATAAAATTCGAAGTTTTCTTTTTTCTACCCATGGTGCTGGTTTGTTAAGAGAGAACCTGCGATATCTTGAGTTTGAAGTACTCCAAACTTGATTAATTTTCTGCTTAGCTTTCCATTGAGTTTAAATAACTTAAATACAACATTGGTGATTTCCTACTACTACTGAAATGAGAAAGTGGAGGAATAACCTGCTAATAACTACACTGTTACAGAGGACCTATTACAGAGAACAGAAAAATATAATTAATAGCTACTGATTTAATGAACTTCCTGATTAAAACTGTTGGTAGACTAAAACGGTGCTAAAACTCAGTGGCGCATTATTCCAAAGTTGGTGGGTAATGAGTCTTCTCCTTTACCCTTCTTTACTTAACAAGGTTTTTGTCCACAACAGGATTCAAGTATGTGACATGTGCGTAACCCACACATCACACGTTCTCTTACCACTATACCTAAGCACTGGGGCATATAAGAGGATGCTTGCTTTTGCCCCACGAATTCTGTTTTCCTTCATGGAAGCACAATGTAACTAGAGTGGTCTTTGTTGGTGCAGTGGCCTTCACTATGTCCACTTCTCTAGTATTAAACAATTTCATGCTGCCACTTTCAAACAAATGAAACAAGATGTTAACGATCACCAGCAACTTTCCCCTTATTTTTTATGAAAGCCAGTTAATTCATGTTTCTGACTAAAAAATGGAAGTATTCCCTGAAAAGAGAGTAGTTCTTGCCCAAATGCTCAGCCAATTCACAAGACACGTTCAATGTGTCTGCAGAGTAGCAGTAAAATATTGAACATATTAATTTTGATATAAGGGTGTCTGGATTGATGAGATTCAGCAGTTATTAGTAGGAATCTGTCTCTGAAAATATTCTGTTTGTGGTTGTCTTAGGAAAGGGTGATCTTGTTTGCGATGCACTATCTAATTATGAAAACAATTAAAGTGACAAAAATCTAATTATTATTGAAATTCCGTCTGTCTTACTACTGAGATGTCTAGATGCATGTTAATTCTGACTACCCTTATTTCTTATGTTGCAGAATTCAATCGCTGATGCTACCAGCTCAATGCAGAACACTGCAGCTGGACCACCTTCCCAAGGTTATAATCCCTACCCTTCTCAGGGTCCTGTGTACTCTTCATCCACTGGTCACGCTGGTCATGCGCCATCTGCAGATTATGGTTCTGTTTATGGAGGTAGCTACGGTTATTAAAGGATATCCCGTTCAAACCAGCACTAGAACTACGAGTCTTCAGCTGTTGGGAAATTTTAGCTCTTTAGTAAAGCTGTATCATGATTTCTAGTAGTTGAGAAGTGAATCTGATTTGCCCTGTTTAGTTTCTTGTCTTCTGCATTCTCAACTGTCTCTATCACATCTTTTATTTTTACCAATATAACTAGTGAAATCAAATTGGAAAACTAATGCTATTTTTCTGCAAGAGAGATATTGTATCTCCTCTTTGATAAGCTTGACGTCATCTCCTCCTTATGTCCAATTTCTTTTGCTAATCTTGTTTGATGCTTCGTAATTCTACAGTGAGGTTTGAAGTAATTTTAATCCTACTTGAAAATCTCCTTTCTTGCCAATTGAGGCTTGAAGAGGTAGGTAGATAAGGAGCAACACTTCAGGCCAGATTGTAAATTCTCAGTACAAGGGGAAGAAATATAAGAAAATGTGATCCCATGTCATTTGACCAAAAAGGAGTCAAGTTTCCCATACTAAAACCAACACAAAATTGAACTATCCAATCCAACTAACAAATACAAGCAGCATCCAAATTTGGAAGAATAAAAGATAAGAAATCCAATACATGAAAAATCTTTGATTTCTCCTTTTTTTCCTAGAAAGATGAGAATGACTAAACCTTCTCAATCCACGCTATGTTCATCATTTGTAAATATTATCTTTTCATGTTGAAAAGATGGGTTCAATTAGCTAAAAGGATACATCATTATTCCTGCAACTTTCAGTTAGTGTTAATTGTTGAGTGATAACTCAGTAAGTCAACAAGATTGCTCCCTCCCAGCAAGCACATCGGCGTCACAACTTCTCCTGATAATGGACTTCCTTTAACTCTATATCCAGAGCCAACTAGATTTTTCTCTGATTTTGTTAGAAGGGTTGGATTCTAGTAGTTACTACTACACTCAAGTTGGTGGAGAGCTTGATCAACGCATTTAAAGAGATACATCTGGCCTGAAGTGTTGCTCCTTATCTACCTCTTCAAGCCTCATGACAACTTTTTCAGCCACATTGCCATATACTTGAGAGATTACAGAATCAGGGTTTGACATAACAATGGGAACACCTTCGTCGGAACCGCTTCTGATCTCCACTTCAAGTGGTATCTACTAGGGGACACACATCAATTAACACAACATTTATGATGAAAATTAAAGTTGAGAAAAGGTATCAGCAATCTAATTGTATCTTAAACAAAATAGTTAAAGAGTGTGACAGCAGAAAAGAAATGGCCACAAAAAAGGGAAACAAAGAAGCATCATGAGAATGTGATGGGACCATTTTAAGGATCCTTTCATTATAGATTTCCTAGAAGTGCCTGCAGTAAGCTTTTCTAGGCATCCAATCGAGGGGGGCTCATGAGTGTTTGTATTCAAAAGAGAGAAGATAATCAGTGACATACCTCACCAAGAAATTTCAGACCCATCTCCTCAGCTGTTTTCCTAGCTCCTCCTTGACCAAAGATAAAGGACGATTCATTGCATTTTGGGCATTTAAAGTAGCTCATATTCTCCAAAATTCCCAGTATCTGTGTTAAGAACAACTGTTTAATTATAACTATATCATAGATGCATTAAGCTATAGCATGCGTCTGCATGATATCTCAATGTATATCTATTCTAAGCCTTCTCTATTTATACATTAGGTTGGTAGCAGTAAGGAAACAGCATTTTCTCAATCCAACTTCAATTAATATTGTTAGCCTGAAATTCGTCTCAGAGTAACAGTATGTCAGTATCCAAACTGTTCCAGTTCAAAGACGTAACAGTGTCAACATTGTTATGACTCTGCTCGATTTTATAAGAGTCCTTACCCTTTTGTTCTTAGTCTTGTGTTTAGGTACATAATATCAGTCTATCCATGCAACATAGTTTCACTTAAGTGTTCCCTTTTTTTCATGGAAGAGGTGGAGTTCCAAACAGATGAAATTGCATATCTCTGCATCTAGTTATCAATGTCATATCCTTGGATCTAGATTCTAGTGTGTGTGTGTGGGGATTACCCATGGAACATAAAAAAACATGAAAACTGACTTCTTAAAACATCGAACATTCATCTGATATCTAGGTAACATTTCTTAGCTCTCTACTAGATTCCACATCAACAAGATGAAGAGGAGTGTAAAGCACTAAAAGTACATAGGCCCAGTAATGGGGTTTGATGGCTATTTCAATCATTAAGTCACTATTTATGAGTGATAAATCAAATAAGGCACATACTTTTTTAAGTTTTATCCAGGAGTTCATATTTATACTTCACAACTAACCCAATGCAAGTCACAAATATTGCTTCTCCGCCCCATATTTTAATCCTACTCTCTCATTGTTGTTATAAGCTCGTACACAGCAAGCTCAGTATGGATCATACCGGAACATTAACCTTGGAGAACATTTTAACTCCTCTGCGAGCATCCAGTAAAGCAACATCTTGAGGAGTCGAAACAATCAACCCTCCTGCCAGCATAGTCAAGTAATTTGAATAATAATGCACAGAAAAGTAGCACAAAAGAGAACTCAACATGAATATTCCTTGACAGTCCAGGGGTGAGAACATACTTAATTTGATAGCACAATACTGTTATGCTATAATGAATTGAAACGTTAAGCGAATGTTCATTAGAAGAGCACGGGTACATAAGTACAGACTGTTGAATATGTTTAATTACAGCCCGTGTTTTATTTAATCCTCTCAATTAGATGAACAATGATGCTAACAGAACCTGAACTTTCAAACAGAATAAGAAAAAAGATGATTTGCAGCTGGATTTTACTCAAACAAGAAACTAAAACAGAAGTAAATCATCATTTGGCCTTTTGTTGTATAAAATGCTAAAACTCAATCTTAATGAACAAATATGATAATGCATTATATGAGCCTAAATTTCACTCAATCCAATCAAAGGGCCACCGAGCGTCGAAAATCCTCAGTTGCCATACTCAACATTTGAAACCTAATGGTTGTGAAAGTGGAGGGTTGTTCTGATTACACCATCAGTCATTTAACAATATATATATTTACTTACGGGCTGAAATGATGGACATATTCAATTTTCTATTCATGGGTGCAGATTAAAAGAAAGTTTGTTGTGCTTTTTGACTTCAAATTAAACAGGATGCAATAGCTTCATCCTTGTGGCATAGTTCCTTGGTCAAATTCTTTTAGAAGTACTTCCAAAAGTTCTTGAGATACCTGATAATTGTAGCCTTTGGGAAATTGATATCTGAGTATCACCAGTACCGGGAGGCATATCTATCACAAGAACATCTAGGATCCCCCAATCCACTCCCCTTGTCAACTGTTCAAGGGCTTTCATTACCTGCAAGTGTACATTTGATTCTAATTGGATTTAGACAATTGAATTCTACCTCCTCAATGCGTCTCATAAGCAGTAAAATCTTTAGCTGAACTTATAACCATAAATGTGCTAAATTCTATAATATAAGTCATCGTTTGTAGGCAAAACCATACCATAGGCCCTCTCCACACAATTGCTTCCCTTTCGTCTACAAGAGATCCAATTGATATACATTTAACTCCATAACTTTCAATCGGAATCATCTTCCTATCTGCCCAAATAACATGATAAGCAAGCAAAACTAGAAAGAATAACAACAATCACAGCACCAATAACATTACTATTTCAGAGTATAGAATCAGCTGATACAAAAATGAAGGTAGTTAAAGCATCACCATTGCTCAGTTCTGGCTTTCCCTTGAGGTGCATCATCAAAGGAATTGAAGGCCCATAAATATCCGCATCCAGCAACCCAACTTTAAGTTGACACCTTTTGGCAAGTGAAACAGCCAAATTAACTGCAAACAAAATACGATCATTGATCAGGAAACAATTACTGGGAATCAAATTAAAATCATTATACAATGCTAAACATACTATTGGTGCATCATATATATGAAGCTTTATTAAATGCTCAAAATCTTCACGCATAGTTAAATTCAGTATCAGAAACTGTAGGAAAGAAAAGAATGATCAACAATTCCACCTTAAATATCTCAAGCATCAAGTTCATTGCATTAAATATCTAGTTTTTGTTTTCAACTAGCTCAATTTGTTAGCGATAGTACGTGCTTCTGATAGTTAGTTGGTAACTTCTTCTGGTGGTTATCCACTGCTCGCTTTGATGCTTTGTATAAATACACTCAAATGTGTCTGCTAAGACCTGTACGAACACAGTCAAATTTTAGCTCATTACTTCTTTTTCCTTCTTCCGTTCTCTCTCAATTCACTTCAGTATTTCAAAGTTTCTGATATCCTCAACTGAATCATCATCTTCTTGAGTTCAATCAGCCACTCCTAAAGTTTTGGCACCACAATACTAAGTATACTAACAACAGCCACAACAAAAAGACACGATTCCTTCTCAAAATAAGAAAAGACATGATTCAACTATTTTATCAATCAATCAACTATACCAATGGCGGATCTTGGATTTAAGTTATCAGCAAATAATTTAACAATGAACAACATACGCAATGTAATCGCACAGGTGGGATCTGGAAATGATAGAGAATACACAGACCTTACACCTACCTCGTAGAACATTGAACCTATTGCATTTTTGAAATTATGGGTTCATACCTACTGTTTGTTGACAACTGTAATGAGCTTTTAGACATAATTTGCGTCAAAAGTATTAGGTTCAGATAAACTCGAAGCAATTAAAGTATTATACATTTTAGTAAACAGAACAGAGTGAAGTGAAATAGTACCAGCAGTAGTGGACTTGCCAACACCACCTTTCCCAGAAGCAACTGCTATAATATCTTTAATCCCTTCAATTTTGAGGCTTTGGGTTTTTGGATTTCTTGAATTTTGCATAGAAAACTCCCTAACCCCTCCAATCTGCAAGAGAGAGTCGAACGAAACCATCAATTTCTGGGGTTAAAAATGAGAACTTTACACAAATTCATAAATCACTTACGGTGAATTTTTTCAAGAAACGCTTCATAATGAAAACTTGTTCGAGGACAACCTAGGACAGAAAATTGGAACAACGTCAAACCCAAGATTTTGCAGCACAAAGGAGAAAATTTGACTGAAACTTTGCTAACAGTGTAAGCTGATTTGGTTCGACAAAAGAAAATGATAAAAATGGTACTTAATGTATGAAAGCTAGGCTATTTTGATCCTTCATATATAAAGGTTTGGTAAATATAGCCCTTAATACCAGTGTGATTATTTTGGCCCTTAATGCTAAATATTACTATATTG